AATGAAGTGGAACTTTCTGCCAACAAACATAAGGGGGAGTGGGAGTATATTATCGATTGGATCGACTGTTACTTCAAGATACATACACAATCGTTTCTCTGGCTGCAATCTCATCCGGGGTATTAAGCCCGGACGAACATAAACTTTAATATCAATAGACACGCCAATCTCTGGCCTTAATCCCCGGCCACAGACTCCTGGAGTGTGTTTGTGTGCGTGCGTGCGTGCGTGTGTGTGTGTGGGCGGGCAAAGTGGAGAATCATTAGAAACCAAAGCACATACAATATTTTTTTCGCCCCTGTTTGTGTGCTTTACTACACTCGCCACAGGCTAGGAAAAATCAAACGCCGAACTAATGACAATTTTCAATGCTCCACGTGTGCTGGTGGAGGTGCCAGCCCCCACCCCCCCATCTATACCGCCGTGTCTAATGAGCGTGGCTAACTGAGATAAGAGATCTGGCCAAATGGTGAATGTGCTACGGGTGCGGGTACGCGTCTAGAGCAATTGCCGTTTTGTTACCAAGAGATTTAGCAGCAGCAAATCAGATACAGATACACCACATATTCCTATTCGTATTCCTATTCATATTCGTATTCGTATTGGTACTTATGTCATGCCGTAAGAGAGGCCAACGTGGGATCTCTGACGTTTGCGGCCACAGAATTCATTCTATGGTGATGAGCAATGCCAATAGCATGCCATCGGGGGTGTACGAGTATGAGTATAAGCGATTTTCCCATATATACTATATGCTCTAAAAGGTTTGTCTTTGCCAGAATGATTGATTGCCACACAAGCAGCGGCAGCAGCAGCAGCAGCAGCAGCATCAGCATCATCATCAGAACGGGGAGGCAAATACTCATATTGTACAACAGATACAAATGCAGTTCACCAGCCAGACACACACTGTTTATAACTTACACATTGCTTCATTATTTTGGCTATTTTGTAAAACCAAAAATTGAGTCTATTTCGCTTTTGTTTCAGCATTTTAGTTTTTGTTTTTTTTTTATGTGCTTTGGGGCCCGCCACTTGACTTGGACTTTTGATGTTTTTACTTGGCCCAATCCACGGCGCTGCCGCTGCCGTTGTCGCTCACTGATCTGCAGCATTTAATTTCATGATTGTTGTCGTTGTTGTTGCTGTTGCTGTTGTTGTTGCTGTTCTCTGTGGCTGCTGTTTTAATTAAATTTCGCAAGGGGAAAAACGCTGAAGAAAACATTTTGTAAATTGCATTTTATGTGCAATTTTCGTTCGACATTTGCCGGGCACTCGTCTGTCGTTTCTCGTCTCTCGTCTCTCGTCTGTGTGCCCCTGTCCGTGTGTCCCTGAGGCACGTCTGCCGCACGGAGTACAGTGCATCTAATTGCGAGTAACAAATGCCGCCTCATGTTGCTGTCGCCAGACATTTCTCTCTCTCTCTCTGTGGGCTCTGGCCCGAAATGAAGGGCAGCAACATGTGCCTGCCTGCCTGCTTGCCAGCCTGCTGCCTGCCTGCTTGCCAGCCTGCCTGCCCGATAGATGGGACAGAGATGGACAGTTTGGGAGCTGTTTTGATTAGCCAGTACCTGGGACAGGCGGCAAATGAGCCAAACAAATGCTGCAGATAGATCATCTGTGTGGATTGTTAGAGAGAGAGTGTGAAGATTCCTCTGTCCTATGCACATCCTTGGGCATCCTTAAGCCCTGTGCCATTCCAGTGTAATTTCGAGGACACTTTGATAAATGTCGATGGGACGATGATGATGATGGGCGCAAAGAGTCGAAAGACTCTCCTGCTTTGGCTCTGACTGACTGACGGACTGACTGACTCTACAGCTATATTTCTTGCTATTTTTACAATCTCCCGATTCTTTATCTGAGATTTTGTCGACTTGCAGTTCATTGCGATTGCCAGGCCAGCCGCCAGCCAGCCAGCCAACCAGCCAGCCAGCCAACCAGCCACCCAGCGGCAATTTCTTCATCTGCATCTACTGCTGCGCTGGCAGACGCATCGTTCTCCCTTTATTTATTTTTTCTCTTTCGGTTTTTTATTTCTTGGCAAACGCATTTATATTGTGCACTTGTATCTGTATAGCTGCACGAATATACATATCTATGCATCCGCGCTCCTGCTGGGTGAGACTGCACTTTATAGGCGACCGTTTGATCGACTGAGTGCAAATTTCTCGAAGCGAAATTTATTTGTGATTTGCAATTCGCGATTTGCATCAACCGACAACGTTTCGTTTCGTTTTTTTTTCTTTTCTTTTTGGATCCTTGGGTTGGGCTGGTGGGATTTTTGGTGGGTAATTCATCTTCATTTCGTTGCGGTTCGAGTTGAAATGCGGTGCGGTATGTAGTCGCGACACTGCACCACCGCCACGCCGTTGCACCGCGCTTCACCGCTGGCAGCACTGCCTCTGTCACAGCATTTTGCTCCTCTCCTCTCTGCTCTGCTCTGCTCGGCGGCGGGGCCTATTTTCATTCGTCCGCCGCTGTGCTAAAAATGTTTCAAATGTTTTTCCCAAACCCAAAAAAAAAAAAAAGAAAGAAAACCAAAACCAAAATACGACTACAAATTGTACAAATTTCATAGGAAAAATGGGAAAAATCGAGAGGGAAATCTCCACGAGGCTCAATGCACTTAAGCCCCCCAAAACATCCGAACAAACCATTCATCTATCTATCTATCCATCCGTTCATCCGTCCGTCAATCTATCCATCCAGCCATCAATCATTTTAGTATGGTGCTGGTTTTTCTTGTTGTTGCAGTATTTTTTTTTTTTTTTGTAATTTAATCAACAGTTTTCCTGTCTTTGGCTGTGGGGATATTCTTTCGCCTTTGCGTGTGGGCGGGTGGAAAACAAGGGAAAAAGAAAATATTGATGGTATACGGGAAAGTATTATAATAATAAAAAAAGGCAAATTTGACAGAAAACAAATGTTTCTCTCCGTTGCTTATTTTTTTCCTTTTTTTCTCCTGAGTTTTCTTGGGATTTTCTTTTGTGTGAAATGTTGTTGAAATTTGAATTAACCCTTGGGTGAGCCGTGAGCCAAGGACGCTATCTGCCTTTGCCCAAGGGAGGAAACTGTCTGTCTGTCTATCTGTCTGTCTGTTGGTCTGTCTGTGGGTATTAGATATTGGATTACCATCTTTTGATGAGCTCTTCCCCATAAATCCAAACATAATGAAGCTGCCAATGGGTAGATCAATAGATATTTGTATCTGTGAAAAGTCATTCCGTGTTCTACAAGCGAGAAAAACATTGTTTCTGCTTCCTTATTGGCCGTTCCTGTGCCTCGAAGGCCCCTTTACCTTAGATTTGGGTCAGCATTTCCTATAGATTACTTTTGACGGGCACCTGACGATCCATTAACCTAATTGCAAAGCCTTTTAGATGGCAATGAAAACACAGCGTCAGTCAGCAAGAGCCTGTGGCTCTACAATAAATAAATTAAAGCAAAAAGAGTGCTCCACTCTGTGCGGTTCTACTTGGCTTAAAATCATCCTTAAAGCTAGTCCCCCAGTCAATGGAAAAGTGAAGAAAAAAAAACGTTAATCAACTTCAAAACTAATTAGTTAATGACTAGCTGACTGCTGGCCTCATCGATGCGGACAAGTTCAAGTTTCGCGGATGAAAGGAAACCGCAAGAGAAAAAAAGCGAATAAACTTAATGAACGGTTAAGGAAATGTCAAGGTGTTGCATGCAGCGGGAGACAGACGCATGGTAATAAGAGGTCTCCCCAGAGGTTTTGCTATCGAGTTAATTAGTGGACAAATACAAGGCTCAAATACGAGTACCACGTGGCCCAAACACCTGTCCGTACCGTACCGTATCTGTATCTGTATCCCACATTCACATCCACATCCACATCTTGTTTTCCTGCGACTGCAATGTGTGCGAAAATTCCGAAAATTGAAATTCACTTCACGGCTCTCACGCTTCACCCGCGCCGTGGCCGCCGCCGCCGCTGCCACCACACCGTCGACCATTGATTGACATTTTGAACGTGACATGTACATGGTTCACCTAAATTCCGTAATTTATTTATAAAAACCTCTCCTAACCGAAAACAAAACGGAAATTATGCTGGCATTGCCGCCTGCTGCAGCCAGCCAGCCAGCCAGCCAGCCAGCTAGCCAGTCAGCCAGCCAGACCATATGCTTTTCACGATAGGCCATTCTGTTTCGCTGTTAATTCTGTTGCCTTTTCAACAGCATCATAGGCCCCACTGACAGCCCCTCAATTAACGAGGGGCAGCGAAAATCGGTGCAAACGTTGTGCTTTGCTCTGACTGGGATTTAGCGAGAGTGGTGGTGGGGGCTGATTATATCAGATTATGCAGAAAATCAATTCGTTTTTAGTGGGTTTTATGCAAGCGATCGAAAAGGTGCCACACAGCCACAGCCACAGCATGATGGATTAATTAGTCCCAGAATATAGATAGATAACGGAATGATGGAATAATTTGAAGCTAGTCTTAAAGGTATTATATTTCCCATTCGAATAAACACTCTGGAATAAATTATATCCTATGACTTTAGAGAACTTGGAACTTTTCATGGGTTCCAGATAAGGAGATAAGAATAAATGCAGCAGCTTCGATTGATACCTAATAGTGGATATATCTCGTAGTATTGTCGGAATGCCGACAATAATTCTCTTTCAACTGGTCTGCGCAATTGAAGCCCTTAAACTCCTGCCAAAGGCTTCAATCGACAATATTTAAGTTCCTGTGAAGACCACTCGGACTCCTAACTGGGCAAAGGGTAATCCCTATAGCAAAGCGAAAACCAAATAAAAAAGAAACCCCAAAATACTCCACTCAAATGCTATACACTCTCTATGTGCTCTCTCTATCATCTCTCTATCGTATTTACTACGTATACAACTTATCAAATACAACTTATACCATATATTGATATATCTGTGTTTTGTATACTGTACTGTCACCCCACAAAAGATATACCATCAATATACCATGCTTATATATATATATATGTGTTTTACAGTCCACACAACAACAGAACCAGCAGCAAGCACTTATGAACAAGTCAAATGACGACCTACGGAGAAAGCGTCCCGAGACTACACGGCCAAATCACATTCTACTCTTCACCATCATAAATCCCTTCTATCCCATCACAGTTGTAAGTACACACAGAGCAATACTACTATACCACTACTACTACTACTACTACTTTATATATTGTGTATGCCATATCTCTGTCTCTCTACCCCTGTCTCTCCACCCTATTACATACATTATATATAGATATATATAGATTATACCGTATTATATAAATCCTGTTGCTCCTTCGGATTGTGACTGAAAAAAGTGTTGCTCGGGTGATGGAAGGAAACAGTTTTGGGCAGTGAAAAAAAAAAAAAAAAAAAAAAAAAAATAAATCCATTGCAATTTGTTTTGTAGCTGTGGCAACTTGTCACACACTTGAGGAGACACATACACACAAATACATGCCACATGTGGCACACACAAACAGTTATTTGCCACACTGTCGCCTCTGGCACTGGATGTTTTTGTTGCTGCAAGATGGCAAGGATGGGAGAAGTGGATCGGGGTTGGGGGGGGGCTTAGGCATCCAGACGAGTGTGTTGATTGCATCTTCCGTGGCCCCAAGTCCTCTTGGGCAAACGGCTTTGACGTTGTGGTATGTGGCATTCTAGTCTTAGCACAACATTTGATACTTTTTAGCTACAAAATGTCTAGAAAGTGCTCTCCATCTCTCTCTTCGTGTGTGTGTGTGTGCAGCAGTGGCAGTGGCAGTGGCAGGGGCAGCATCAGATGTGCGTCTGCCAGGATATGGACGAGAGTTTAGTCCATGTCCATGTCCAACCTGCAACAGCAACAATTATGAAAAAGAGAGAAAAACTAACACAATGCCCCCCAGGAGAAAAGTGAAAAATGCTTAAAGTACTCAAGTGCGAAGCTTCACCTAAATCGACACACAAATGCAGATACAGATACAGATACATGCAGATACAGCTGTAGATACAGATAAGAAGGAAACTGAAACTTGAAGAATTTTCTATGCTCTTCACTTTAAATATTAAATAATTTCCACCTTTAAACGGGATGCCACTTCCTGCACTAGTCATTCTGCTCCTTAAAACTCTGCTGAAAATGGGAAAAGTGAAAACTAAACTCATCCAGCGGAAAATGCAGGCTTTTATTTTATTTTTGTTTTGTTTTGTTTTGGAGAAAGTAGCTGGGAAGAGAACTTATTCAATTCAAATGTGGATCAAGCAGCTCTTGGCTTAAGCAGCATACCCTATTGTTACCCTATATCTTTTCGCTATATAGGATACGCATTGTACTCAGGCACACACACACACACACACACACACACACACAAAACAAACACACATAGCACACAGAGTGAGAGAGAGAGCGAGAGAGGGGGAGACACACAGACGGACACAGTTTATTGTCTTTTTAGCAAAAGGCATGAAAAAACATTTGGCGGCACAGCCTCGTTGCCCCACAAAGCCAAAGAAAACAACAAATGCGGAAATGTAGCATGCCTCATTCTCATTCTCTGGCTCTGCCTCTGCCTCAGTGTGTGCGTGTGCCCAGGCAATTGTATTTTCCAACACTTGAGCCAAGAGCCCAAGAGCGAGCGTAGTGGAACATAAAATCCTGTGAAGTGGAAAACATGCAGCATACTCGTAAAAGCTACAAAACTGAAATTATTTTTGGTGCCAGTTGTTGCTGCTGCTGCTGCTGCTGCATACAGTTGCATCTGTGTATGAATGCATCTGCATCTGTATTATTTGGGTGGAGGATAAAGCCAGCGCCCAGACATGTTAATTCGCATCCGACAAAATGGCTGCTGGCTTTCTGCTGCCTGCTGGCGCAGGATTTTCACAGTACTCCCATTGTCGTAAAGTCCGACTGACTGGATTTATACCCGGCGTATCCCCACGTACTCGACTTCACGGCAGCCCGCAGTCCGCGCTTGCAACGCGCTTTGGCTTCGGCCTCGGCCTCTCCTTCCTCCTCGCATAAATCTTTTCTGTTGGCTCAAGTCATCGTCACTGGGCGTGTTTGTCATGGAATTAAGCAATTCCCTTTGCGCCGATTCCCGCTGTACGTCTCTCTCTCTCTCTCTCTCTTTATAGGGACGCATATTAAAGAAATCTGTGAGCCGTATCCGGACGATATCTTTATTCTTTTGTTGCATCTTATCGAGCTGCCGGAAATCTGTTAATGGCAAGAGTAATGGCAAGAGTAATCCAACACTGGGAAAACCAATGATGGCCCAAATGATACGTATCAGGAAAAAGTACAGTGAAAGAACTCGTATATTTGAGATACATCGGATCCAAGGGAACAAAAAAACGATCTCCTATTTGTTTTATTCCTTGGCAACTTTGTAAAATGAAATTTAATTTATTTCCCCTTAACTCTAGCCCACTGAAAATATTCCCAAGAAATACGGAAAAGTGCTCTCAAAAGTTGCCGGCTAAAACTTTTGGGCGCCTGGTCACGTACGTATACGTACTGTATAAACTGTACGTAGGCAGGCGGGCGTTCCATCATACGGTCCAAGTGGCTTTAGTCTAACTAATCGCAAACTAAACGACCTCTAATAGCAGTCGCAACTTTCGTCAACAATGCAGACTCTCAGCCCGAGCTCGAGCAGGAAGATGCACATGCGGAAAAGCAAAGTGAACTACGGCTAAACTTTTGCACTGCACGGCCAGGCATCGCTCATCTCCATAGAAAGAGACAAGAGACACGAGAAGGAGAAGGAGAAAGAGATACGTGATGGAGAAAGAGATAGAGAAAGAGAACGGAATGCCAATGCTGGGAGCAGAACAGAAAGCTTTTTGGGGGATAAGATTAAAAACTTTTTAATAAGAAGACACTAAAAGCATCAAAGAAAATTTTGTTTTTCTGCATATGTGTAGACAAAGTAGCCAACAAAAATGATAGAGACAGCTATAGGGAGAGAGAGAGAGGGAGAGCGAAAAAGATGGATGAATGATAAAGTTTTGGGCCCTCATTCTCAGCGGCCCTTAGCCACGCTAAAGTTGAAGCCAGGCTTTGGGGTTTGAAGGGAAAATGCAATAAAAGTTGCCTCTGGCTGACACCAGCAACGCAGAAGGAGCAGAAGGAGGAAGAGGCGGAGGAGGAGCAATAGGAGGACGAGGACATGCAACAATGTTCAATAAAGTATTAGGGGCGATGCGGGTGCTGGTGCTGATGCTGGTGCTGGTGGAGGGGCGTGGTTGCAACAATGCAAATGCAACCCTGACCCTTACATGCCCCGTGCCTCGTCTGGCATATGTAAAACCCTCTTTGAAGCGGCTTATCAGAACGATGTTCGACTTTTGCTGGCGGGGCGAAAAAGCGGCGGGACTTCACTCAGGCCGCAGTCAACCATAAGCCAAAGCCCTGGAATGCAACGGCAGTTGGAGCTGGAGCTGCTGCAGCTTTTGCAATATGTGACACATGCTAGAGGACACCCAGCAGCCGTCGAGCAGCAGCACCAGCAGCACCAGCAGCAGCAGCAGCACCAGCAGCAGGAGTAGCAGGAGCCACCAGACCATAATGCGTGGCCTGGCAAAAGCCAAACAAAAACCGATGAAAAAAAAGGAACGAATGTGGTGTGGCACGTTGTGCACGTTGCAGGAAGGACATGTGGCAAAGCCAAAGCCATAGACCTAAGCCACGCCCAGAAGAGCAAACCAAACCAAACGAAACCCTCTGCTTGTGGCGCCACCGCTGGGGCTCCAACTGAGGATTTCAATAATGCAGGTTTGAAGACTTCCCCTCCAGCCGCAGCCCACCCCACAGCCCACAGCCCAGCACACCGTCGCGCGTATTGTATTGCATTTTGTTTATGCATGCGCCCATCAAAGATGCTGCAAAGATCCCAGAAAATGGGTCGACTCGAGTGGAGCATGGGGTTGCAACCCACCACCGCCCCCGCCCCAACCCCTCATGGGTGTGGCACAGGTTTCGCTTAGAACTTTTGACAAATCGATGAGGTGGTTGGGGGGGGGCCACCATTTTTTTTTATGTGTGTTCTTTTATGGTCGACGCTGTCGGTGTCGATGTCGGCAACGCTGCCATTTGTGACGGAGAATATGCCACATAAAGTTTATTCTATGGATTTTATGGGCATAGATGCCAGGGCATAGATAACGAGATGCCGTCAAAGGATGAAGGGGGCACCCGCTGCCGCCTCCCGCCTCCTTGACAATACAGATTACCGTATTCATTGGTTTCATATTCCGAAAAGAATGCAGTCTACACACGTGGAATTTATTTCGAGTTCCTGGATACCAAACTGATTTGTTACACTAAAAAAAAAAAAGAGAAAGAAGTGCCTGAAGAAGAAGTTTTCGCTCAGAAGTCGCCATCGGGAGAGTCGGTGCTGGGCACACCAGAGCTGAGCAGGCTGTACAGCAGATCCGGGAAGCATTTGATGTCGTTCTTCGTCAGATGTCCCTGCTGATACATCTTCGAGAAGATCTGCATGGTGGGTGGTGAGGTACAATTAAGGTATTACAGTCGAAATGCCAGAATGTGTCTAAAGATTCGCACCATTTCCCGGAGATTGGAGCCATTCAGTTGCGTGGTGCGTTCCATCAGCCAGGTGCTGTGCTCCTTCTGCTCGTCAGCACTGATGGCGACCGGTGCCCAATTGGCCATCGACCGAGGGTCCAGGGATTGGACTTCAGTGAGCGTGTGGCTGCTCTTTCGGGACTTTGGCTTTTTTTTCTGGGACCACCGCTTGGACGTGCCGCCTTGGAGGCGCGGCGGCGTCTGCTTGATGGCATGCTGCTCCACGAACCGCGTATCCGACAGTGCCTCGCGCTCGAGCATCCGCTGATGGCGCACCCGATGGCAGACGTGCCGCTGTTGCTTGCGGCGATGGGGCCTGGTGACGCCACTGGTGCACCGGGCGACCCGAACCCTGGGCCCCTCCTCCACTTTGGGGCTCTTCTGGAGCGACTGCCAGATGCCCAGGTGCTCCTTGGCACAGGTGGGGGCCAGCAGCAGCTCCCTTTGGCGGTAGATCTCCCGCGCGATGATGGCACGATGCTTGCGCCGCTGTGCCTCGGCCTCTTCCTTGCGGCGCTTCGACTGCAGCACAACGGGGCTGACGGACTGCAAAGGATCCTGCTGCTCGCCGGGCCACCGCTGGCGGTTCTGTGTGCGCTGCTGCTTGAGCACCTCCTGCTGCTGCTGCTCCCTGTAGTGCTTCTCCATGGCCGTGTGGGCGAGCTGCTCCCGCCGCCGGCTCGACTCCGTGTTGGCGAACAGTGTCTGGTGCTTGGTCTGGTCGTAGAACTTGCAGTAGTAGTTGACCTTCTCCGAGTCCGTCGGCGGCATGATGCGCCGATAGTTGCCCAGGTGGCTCTCCTCCCAGGCGATCTGCTGGGCCAGGGCACCGATGGAGCAGGCCTGTCCCATTCGCATCTCGCTGCCGCCCTGCTCCCGGCCGGGGCTAGGGAACGGACTACTCTGGGGCGTCTGGGGCGAGCCCCTCTTCTTGCTGTACACCTTGCGCAGCAGCCGGGTCCGGTGCTCGATGCGATCGTCGCGTATGATCTGCTCCTTGTCCACCAGCGCCGTGGTGAGCAGATTGAGTGTGTCCCGAATGAGCGCTCGCTTCACGTCCTTGTCCACCACCTCGTCCGCACTCAGACTGGGCGTGTGGTTCACCTCCAGTATGAAGGGCTTCAGCTTCCAGTCGACCAGAATGTCGAAGCCGAGCAGCTGGAAGCAGCCCTGGATCTTGTCGTGCCGCGGAAAGCACACGTGATAGTTGTGCTTCAGCACTGGCCACGCACTGATGATCGTCTTGATGATGGCATCGTCCACGGAGGCCCAGAACTCGGGCACATCGTAGTTGTGCTCCACCAGCCACTTGTTGTACGCGCTCAGCTTCCGCTTGGAGCCCCCCTCCGCGCCCGCGCCCACATCGTAGTTCGAGTTGCGCCGATTGAGGCTGTAGTTGGTCAGGTGCATGTACACGTTGTGGCTGTTGCCCAGCGTGGGCGCCACGTACTTGTGGGTGGCGAAACGGGCCAGGCCCTCGTTGTACACGAAAATGCGCAGCGGATCGACGGAGGTGATCAGCGTATAAACGCGCAGATCAAACTTGAAGCCATCGATGAGCAGCGGCTGCAACGAGGGGCCACGCTCAACGAAGTTCCACTGTATATTGGTGAATGGGTGCCACTTACCCGCTCGATGTACGTCTGGCAGATGAGCTTCTCCCGCTTGCTGACGGTCCGCAGATCGGGTGTTATCCAAATGCCGCGTCCCCGTCCGGAGGAGTACGGCTTGAGGATGAAGGTGCGCTTGTGCTTGCTGGCATAGGTGGCCACATCGTAGGCACTGGCAGCACCATGGCGGAAGAGAGGGAGGCATGAGAATCAGGGTGGGGAGCTGCGGAATGCGGGGCAACCTACTCTGTGGGCATCAGCCAGGTCTTGGGAAAGATGCGATAGTCGCCAGGGTATATCTTCAGCATGCGATTGAGATTCCTGGAGAGCAGATCCTTGCGACAGATCTCCATCATGCCGGGGAAGTGATTGATCTGCTGGAAGCGTTTCATGCTCCGCAGCAGATCATGATGGGGCGTGCAGTCTGTCCACTGAACGTTCCACAGACGATGCTCGGGCACCTGCTGGAAGCCCATGCTCTTCGCGATTCGCGACACCAGTGGGAAGTGCGTGTGCTCCGCACAAATGCTGAGCCGTGTGCCCCGAATGGTGGGCACTATGTCGGTGCCCTCCATGTGGATGGGGGGCAGCGGCTCCTGCATCACATCGTAGCAGATGGCGTCCAGCTGGGGGAGGCCAACGCTCAGCTGCTGCTGTTGGTCGCCCTGTGTATGGTCCTCGGTGACGACCATGAAGTGATCCACATCGTTGCGTGGACGCCAGGCGGGTCTGCCCTTCGCCTGCGGTCTGCAGTCGGGCACGAGCTTGATCTGCCTAAAGTGCTTTTGCTGGGGCTGCTGCTCCTGCTGCTGCTGCTGCTGCTGCAGGTGCAGGTGCCGTCGCTCATTAGACAGGACGTAGACGCTCTCGCGAGGGTAGACGAGCGGCCGCGATCGACTGCGGTCCACGGGGAGGCTCTTCTGGGCATCGAAGTAGCGCGTGTATGGATTCGAGAGTTTACGACGCGTCTTTCCATTCTTCTTTGACGGCATCTGTGATTCCTAATTGTATTTTTTTTGTTCGATTGTGTGCGCTTTAGTTTTGCCAAAGAAAAAACCTGAGGATGGGGAAACACTTGGAAAATTTAATTTTGATTGTTGAATTTTCACATGAAATCAGGGCAGAATACTTACAGGCAATTTCTATTGAGGCACAGCCTCCCCCGTGCCCCTCAGAACGACCTCATCGATGGTGGCAATGTCAAGTGCAATTTTCTGTGCTTCGTTTGACATTTGATATGCCACCGAATCGATTTCCAAAGTTGTTTGCCGCGCCACCGCCGTCACCGCCACCGCGAGGGGAACTTATGCAACATTATGGTTACGAAAAACACCTTGCCACAACATGCGATACAAATTCGCGCAACAAAAACAACGCATAGATACATTTCCCTACAAGATGCATACGTAATGTAATACACTGAGAGCCAATGGTGTCCATACTACGCGTATTTGAAAAGTAAAGCCAAGCAGAGGGCAGTGGTTTGCTTTTCTGTCAGTGTACGGAGGGAACTGCTGGATAGATGGCTGTGCCTCTCGAGGTGTGGCTGGCTCATTAACCGCAGTTTAATCAGGCTCTTGGTCCATGCGGTTATTAGTTCAGGCAGTCAATGTCAAAAGACAGCAACAGACACTACTACATGTAGTCATTATAGTGACGGCAATAAGTACATACAAATACAAATATGGCATGTAAATGTTAGCCAGTCACACGCTTGGTTAACCCCGTGAATGGAGGTGGAGCTGGAGTTGTTGGTGGAGTTGGAGCAGATCCAAGTGAGTGATTCATGCGGTGCAGGCGGTACCAAAGAATCACTCTCTCCATCAATGCAATGCAATTCCAATTATTTCCATTGTTTTTTTTTTTTGTGGCTGAAATTGTATCTCGCTAAGCTTGTGCCATACATTCTGGCAGGCAGCAAACCATGAAAATTGTCAAGTTTATTTGGTTGAGTAACGCGCTTTTGGTTTCATTTATCTCTAGCTACCATTCCCACTCCCTTTCCCCTAGTTGTCTGTACGTGCGGGGAGGGGGAGGCGGAGGAAGGTTCGCTCATTATTTTGCTCCTGTTTCTGTACAGCTAATTATGCAGACGCCATATCGTATAAAGAGTTGCAGATAAACAAGTAAACAGACACGGAACAACAGCAACAAAACTAATGAAAAATAGGTCCAAAGTGTTGGCAACATTTCTCCATTTGAAATATTAATGTTAGTGCACGAACTGCCAACAAAAGGTGTGATGGGTGGGGGCTTGAGAAAAGCTGCCTGTTGACAGGAGCAGGCAGCAGCAGGCAGCCATAAGGCGATAAGCGGAAAATTCCAATGAATAATGCTGGGAATTCCGAATAAATGTAGCGAAACAATTCCAGAAACATCCTTAATAAAAATACCCATTACTTATTTATTTAATTCTCGCTCATATGCAAATTATTTCATATCGATAAATGCACATACCTACAGACATATTTATTTATTCGTTTTGTTGTTGAATAAACCAAATTATTTATTAAAATAATAATTGATGGCATCTGATTGAATATTTCACACTTGTGTGACGGCTGGAGATTTATCTGTAAATATTTGCCTGCTCTTGTTTAAATTTCAATTGACATCGCCCAACCCCCCGCCATCCGCTTTTACCCATAAGGTCAGCGAAAAGGAAATGAGTGGAAAATCGGGGGCCGTACAACAAACTGTATTAATAATTTAAAGGTGTGCCAAACACATTTCATTTGCAGCTGCAGCAAAAGTAAAAAAAAAAAAAAAAAAAAGGGGAAACCATGAGAGTGTAATAATAAAAAATTAAACAAAAGGAAAATAAGGAAATAAGAAAAACCAACAAGAGCAGGAGCAGGAACAGGCGTAGCGGCATCGGCATCGGCAGGAGTAACAAAAGTAAATGGGGGAATGGGTGGGAATGGAAGTAGCAGCAGTGAAAATGGCTCATAAAACTGACTGCTGCCGGCTGCTGATGATGATGGAAAGCCCGGAAAAACCCCGAGCCCCCAGCATATAAATTACAATGTGTGTGTGTGTGGTGTGGAGAGTGGAGCAATTTTTAAGGATACCACACACATACACACACATATGGTTACAGTCGCATTTTGACTAAGCGCACATTAAAAATTAATCTTTTAATTACTGGCAGGAAGGGTAGGCAGGCAGGCAGGCTGGGGAACTACAACCACATTGTGTGTGTTGCATGCGTCAGGAGGCACTGTAACTATTATTGGCCATAAGAGGATAAACGGGGGCACAACGGCTGGCAGCCATTTTGTATTTGCATTGGCAGCCATTTTGCGGATGACTTTAAGTTTACGCAAGAGCAATGCTCAATGCTCAAGCATCAAGTCTCAACGCTCGGGGTGTTGCAGCACAAGGCAGGACTGTGGCGTGGTGCCCTGTTGCGCATTGCTGAAGCCTCATAAATCCATAAGAAGATTCACAGGATTCACTGGAACACGACGGTGCGCGTAATAACATTATCGTCATCTTGTGGTGTACCTCTCGCCGCTGTCTCTGCCCGTAATCCCCCATTCAGGCCTTAATTCCACTTTATGCCTCATTGTTGAACTCACCCCACCAGCTTTTGGAAATCTTCCCTGCCCTTCTCCTCACCCCGCTTGAACATATTTTGCAGCTTTGAAAATTTTGCTTGGTGCCAGAAACTCCAAATTTTAATTGCTTTCAATTGACCAAAAGCTGAAATGCGACAACTTGCCACATAAACTGAATGGGGGGCGCTACCAAGTGAAAATCTTGCGCCCACATTTGAATTCAATTTACATTTTATCGCATTAACATTTTTAGGCACTTTTAATGCGCAAAGTTTCCATTCTACAGTGAGCATGGGAGCAAGGAGCAGAGCAGGCGACCCACCACCCCCCAATGTCGTGTTAAAAGCTTTTAAAATGCGTGTGGACTGTACGTGCAACTGAGTGAGGCACAAAAGAAAGCCCCTGCACATGCTCTCAGTGAAAGACAGCAAGCGTGTGGCATAAGTTTTTGGCTTGGGCAAGGGGCTGATAAAGTGGTTTCAATTTGAATATCTATAGCTCCTAATTCCCGGTCACCTAAGCCCGACTTACCATATATTTACCCCAGAGAAGTTTGATGATATTTATAATTCTCTTGACTATCCATTTCATCCCCAATTTATATTTACATTCCTTGAAGCCTTCAATCCCTCCAAAAAAAAAAAAAGCTTTTAATGCCTCCAATGCCTATCAATTCCGGTTATACGAGTACTCGGCTGAAACGTGATTAACATCTCACGCCAAAGCATGTCGATGTCATTTCGAATTCTATTTTTGATTTATCTAGCAGTGTTGCTTGCTGGTCATGGAAATCTGTTTTCTGTTTTCTGATTCCTGTTCTGTGTTGTGCCACTCACGTAGCCTCCCGTCCCATAATTATGCATGAATCCCAAGCAACGCTTGAATGGATGCGCTTCCAAAAAAAAATAAATATATATGCACATAAATTTGAGCACTCTTTTCCCCCCGTTCCTGCAGCCCACCCTGCACCCTGCCAGAAACGCAATGAAAATGTTAAAATGCTCGCACGTAGCACGGAAGCACAGCACAGGAAAAGTTATTTGTAATGCAAAAAAAAAGCAACAAAACAATGCGGAAAATAGTGATGGGACTTTTGTTTTCCTTCTGTTTGTGTGTGTGTGTGTGTGTGTGTGTGGTGTATATTTGGGATGTATAAACAAGAAAACGCATTCGTAATGGAAATAAAATTTAACGGCAAGGACGAGAGCAAGTAGAAGACGCTGCAAAGTATGCAGCACTTTGTTGGCTGCGAACTACATATAAGGAAAGCCAGACCCCAAGATACAATTGTTTCCATTACAGATATATGAATAGATGTACGAGTGATTCGATCGTAGAATATAGAAGGGTATATGAACAAAAGAAGAGTGTTCTTTGACACTCTGAGTATTTGCCCAGAAGTTTTATGGTAGGAAAGGTGGAAGATATCCTCCCATAGTTCGTGTGTGACAGGCCGGCAACAAATTGCTGGCAGGCAGACAAGGCGACAGGGAAATGTGACACCTCCTGGCCAGGCTCCTGCCCGCATGTCAATGTCATAATTTGCCATAATGGGCGTGGGCATGGGCACAGGGAACAAGCAAAAAGGTAGAGGAATGGATGCAGATGGAGAAGGAGATGGCGATGAACTAGTGCAGGCATCAAAAGATGTCGATGTTGATGTTGATGCTGTTTTTGCCCGGGAGGCGTGGTCGAAAGGGTCCTTGTGCTGGTCTCGGTCACTAGTCCGGGGCCATGACAACACTTGATATCAGTAGTAGGGGCCGGTAGTGGGAGTGGAGAGTGCGGGTTGGCGGGATCTGTGGGGTCTGTGGGGCCAGCTCATGTCATGTCCTTGGCTATGTCGAGCATTGTCAACATTAACACAGCCCAGAGGCATAAAAGGCATATCCAATTGCAAAAAGACGCATGCCGATAACAAAGGCTCAGCAAACATTCAACTAACATTAGTGCCACGCCAGCCCTTGCACACACACACATACACACACACACACATACACTCACAGACAGGAGGCCAGGGTGTCCTGTGGCCCTGTTATAGGGTCCTGGTCGGAGTTTCTCGTTTGCTGTCTATTTTCCTTGGTCATTAAATTTGGATTTTGCGCTGTGCATATCACAAGCGCTTGACTCTGCTCTTAAATATACATTCACACAAAAACACACACAGGACACACACACACACACACACATGCATGGTTACATCTCTTTAGTGGCCCTTTGTGCGACTCCATGCTCCTCAGACTTGGTCCCCAACCCCGCCCCACCGATGTGGCTTAAACCGGCCACCATTGTTGGCGAGGCATTTTGCATGCATACACTCTTACACACATACATATATCCAAGAGCGGATCAAGAGGAAAGGAAGGCAGGTGGAAAATTCCGTCCCCCCCCTTCCCTCATCTTTCAACATCAGTTTGGCTTTACCCACTCCCCGCCCCCAGCCCACCCACAATGCTTTTAGTGCCCCGTTCTAATGTTTTGTTTTGCGTTCGGTTTCGAGTCCTTTGTGGTTGTAGATTTTTCTTCTTTTTTTTTCCCAACATTGCAACAGAAGCGGAACAAAAATGGTTTTAGGGCTTAATGCTGTGGATTTGATGGGGTAAACGAGACTAGAAGGCAGCTCGTTTGGGGCAGGCCAGGGCTAAGCTGCGGGGAGAGAAGAGCTAAATCCGTTGATGGGATTTGCGGCAATCGGAGAAATACGCTGGGCAACCAAAGCGAAGCCATTGTAGTGGAACTTTCAAAGCAAAGAAATCGATGTAACGGATGCAAATTTCTAAGCAAAGAATTCTATGTGCGTTGAAAACTTCGAGATTGTTCAATATTGAAGCTGGAACGAAAGCCACTTAAATTGATTAAATTGTTACATTATTATATTCAAATTACACATGTGTTTGCTTTAGCTAATTGCTTTTATTATTCTTTCTCTTTTTAGGTAAGTTCTCGTCAAACATTTAACCGCTCTTGGAGCAAATTTTAGGCGTGAGTGCGTGAGTGCTGAGTCCTGAGTCCTAAAGCCAATCAATTGCTCATTTTCCCCTCAAGGGCTGCACTAAGCCATCAAAGTCACATCAAGACATCAAATACTCATACACATAATCATCCATATCCATCAGCCAACAACAGGGGCGGCAGCAGATCAGCACAGGGCGGGCTAGAAATGCCCAATAAATCAGTAGAAAAATGTCCAGAAAGACATTCCAAGGGCTGCATCTATTGGGCGCACAGCAATCTCAAAAAACTTTCCTTCGAGATGGTAGGATGCTTGTTGATAGTTGCTAGGGGGTAGCGGGTATAGAGGAGGGGGTGAGAAATGAGGCGGGTGTAACCCCAAAAGTTGCATCGTAATTCCCACGATAATAATCATAATAAAAATCAAGCAAGCGATAAAGCATAAAACCAAATTACATACAACTCGGGCCCTTTCAGGACTTCCGAGACGAGCACTTGAGGTCCTGCTGCCTTATGCCACATTGTTGTTGTTGCTGCTGCGGCTGCTGTACCTAGTTAGTGGTATTCTTGTTATTTTTCGTGCTGCCCCTACAACATAAAAATGAAAAAGTTTTTTTTTCCACCAAAAGCAAACTTGTACATTGTCAAAAAAAAAAAAAAATAGAAGAAAAGAAGAGGAAAATTGCGGCCACTAAAATATGTGTACATACATACATATATATATATATGTATATAAATATTTCTTTTGAGGCCTTTGCTCTGGTCAGGACTGTTCGGACATTTTATGGAGCACGTAACGGACATTTTTTTTCGGTTATATTTCACGCTTTTGAAAAACTTTTCCCATAATATGCGACAATGATGGGGCTTATGCAATATGGTCTCTGGGTCTATATGGGTTGTGTAACTATCGGCACGTACATGGGTATTCTGGCCCAAAAGATAATGCCGGGGGTGTTGCCCATAACGATCTGTGGAGTAGAGTAGAGTAGAGTAAAGGGCGCGAGTGGCGTGAATGATTTATGCGCCGAGTGGAAGAGCTAAATTCATTAAGTTGTCAAATGCAAGTCAACACAATACAAGATTCTGACATGGACATGACATTTTCACTGCGTACAAGCCATAGAAAAGAAAATTCGGAAAAGCCAACAGAGAGTGTGAGAGAGAGAGAGAGAGCAAGAGATGGAGGGATGACAGACAATAAGACAAATGCTGAGAGCAATTGGCGCATGAAATGTCATTGAAAACCATATAAAAGCAGGTCTAAAATTGGAATACAGCTAACAGCAGAACAGCGGCCATACCTGCCTCAGACAATTGAAAAAAACAAACCCAACGGATTGGCATGAAAGATTCAAGTTTGAATGCCTTCAGAGTAAGCTATATGGTTTTTATTGAAATCCGATGGTGCGACTAGATGATCCAGCGCTTGCAATCCTCTCGATGTATACAGAATCCTGTGATGTCACGCTTCCGCACCATACCGGGGGCACAGGCACAGCCTCGTTTGCATTTGACGTATCTGCATTTGCGTATAACAAGCTGATCCACGCACAGCTTTTGGCAGGAGCGTACACAGTTGACAATGACGTCATTGCAGGTACACTCTGGCCGGGAATGAAAAAGAACAATTAAAAAGATCTGGCTGCAGGGATCTAACTGAACTTACCAAGTAATTTCTCGGCAATTGCCGATGATACGAGTATTACGAGCACCCAAGTAAATTTCATCTCAAAGTGAACAATATTTTCGTATTTTGAAAACAAAATTGAGTGCTGCAGCAGCTTCCCAAATTGATTCGTCAAGCGGTAAATCGTTTAGTCTCGAAATTCGTGTGCAAAAATCCTATGAAACTCATTTTCTGAACAAAGGGCGTCACCTCTCACCCCAGAAGCCGTGCCCACAACACCACAAAGCCTCTTAGCCCCCAAAAATCCGGCCATATTAACTGGGAAAATGTGCAACTGACAAAATTGCGCACCAAAGGGCGCACCGCACCACCAGGGGCGAATATTATAATTCTGCTAATTGATGGAATGGTTTTGGTGGCCAGCAGCCAGCAGGCAGCAGGCCAGGGATCAGGGCAGGGCTTCGGCCAAAATCAAATGAAAATCCGATACTAATAAACGGGTTAACGGAGCGTATACGCAATGTGCGGTTTGCCATGTTGATTTTACACATTACACATTATATTTTCGTGCAGTGTAATTAACTGGCAGCGCACGCATAATTAAAATTCGTATATGTATGCAGTAAATGTGGCATATGTGGGCGGCATGCAGCAGAAGAAAGGTGCATTGTGTGTCTCCGGCTCATATGTCAGCCGTGGATTCCATGGGCAGTTGCAGTTGCAGTGGCAGTGGCAGGGAAATGGATATGCAGCTTCAGCAGCTAGACAATGGACAATAGACGCCTGACCATCGCTGGCAGCCCCTCTCAGCCCCGCGTATGTGCAGCCCCGTGTCCGGCCATGGCCAACGATCATCATTATGATGATGGGGGCATCACTGGCGCTATTTGCGGTTTTAATTATGTCCAGCCCGCATTTGTAGAACAATGCGAGTGGATTTGCGAATGAAAATGAGCGGTGCCACATGGCAGCTGCGCCAGCAACTGATTGGAATAAATGATGCGAGTGATTTCCCCCCAAAAAAAAAAAAATGAATAAGCAGAAAAACTACTGAACGTATCTGGTAAGCAAGAGAACATTCGGTTCGAATTTTAAACCATAACAAATGAATGCAGAGACGTGAAAGAAATATGGAAAGCGAATGCTTATCAGAGCATGTAAAACGTTCCATGTTGCAGGAGAATTTCTGCTCCTTGAATCCTATCTACCACGACCTCTCACCATTTCCATTGTTCGCCTGGGAATCGTTGCCACAAGGCGCAATAATAAAGCACGGCTAAGGGGTGGGGTGGGAATGGCATACAGTCAATCAACGTGAAGGGCTTAAACTGTCACTCTTAACCAACTAACGAACACCCGGGCCCAGACCCACACCACGCACACGTGGGAGAAATGGGAAAAGTTTATGCTTATGGCTTAGCCAGGCCAGGCGCCTGAAAAATTAATGCCTGCTAATAATTCAAGGGCCCGTAAGAGGCTCGACCTGGAGTGTGTGTTCATGTTAAATAATCTAACGCACAATTAATTGAAGGTGCCATAAATATAGCGCATACGCAACGTAAATCAGCCAAGATGCCAGGCGGATAGGCGGATGGAGCTGGGCCAGCAGACAGTCGGACAGGAGGAAACCCTTCAACACAAAGACTGATTATGCACGCAATTAATTTTGGAAGCCTTTATTGTCCCACGCACAGGACGGGCACAGGATAGCAGGAGCAACATGGGACACGAAAATCTGCTTATGGAGCCGAGTCCTGGCTGCCCCTGGGGCATTGCTCTGATAATTTAAGTTGCTTTGACTCGAATTAACTGAGTTTATCCTCATTACGTGTGATTGTCTAGTCTCTTGTCTCAATTTGTGAGCGAGTTGCAGGCAATGGCAATCCATTCTTGCAGGATCCGCTCCTGCCTATGAGGCGGATGACCGCCATTCTCTAGCAGCCGGATATGAAAAAACCACGGGCGAGGGCGAACGTCCGTTAGCTGACCGCAGCATTAAAGCAACATTTGTTTCGGTTTTTCTCCAGCCACTCAGCCACTAACCCGCCGCAAGGGCAAGGGAAACTCTGCCATCAGCTTCTCGTGAAAATTTCGAACAATGCAACACAAATTGTCGGCAACCGCAGCAGCAAGCGCGGTTTACTCTCTGTGGCATCCACAGACAGAAACAGATGCAGTGGCCGTGCCAGTGCCAGTGCCAGTCTCGGTCTGAGAGATGGAGATGGAGCTGAGCGAGTGGCCCGGACACCGCAACTAACAATAGTTGACCAGTGCTATATTTTGACCTGTTCAGCTTCAAATACAGAAGCCAAGCATCACTTTAAGGCGCAAGTTGAGGCCAATGATGTCATCCGAGTGGGCGATGGCATCCCAAACAGAGCAGCAAAATTATTTAATGAGTTCTAGGAATATTCTATTTTTGCAAAATTCATTGGAATCGAGGTATAGAAATTCTCTGCTGTGCAATTTCTTTCGAATCAAACGTTTTTTTCCCCCATATCTTCAACTCTTGGCCTGCGCTTTTGCCCGTGCCATGTTCGTAATCAGGTTTCGACGTGACTGTATGACCCCCCGTCGGATAGACATGCCCACAACGACAGGCGGGGGTCGGCATCCTCACATCCTCCCATTGGTAGTCATTTTTAAATGCTTCAGCATGGCATAAAATTTGCATGAATTTCTTGCATAGTTTATTTAGCGTTCGCCATTGTTGTTGTCCATTTTGCGTCCGCCCCAGCGACGGCCACGGCCCACGATGTGGCAAGGTTGGAGCGCAATGCACAGGAACCGAAATGTGTGCAGAAAAATCGACGGGGATGACACCAGTCGCAGGAGCAGAACAAGGACCAGGACCAGCCTCCCACGGCTAGCCTTGCCCATATTAAGGCTCAATTTTTGCGTGCGGCTTTTGGCTCCGCCACACAGCGCCACAACGAAAAACAAGCGGCTGCTGGTGAATGGTGAATGCAGCATTTATATTCATATATGCGGTGTGGAAATGAATCGTGGACCTGGCAGCTCTCACCGCAGGATTCAGTTCATTGATGGCACACGGGGGGTGGTGAACAAACAAAAAAAAAAAAAAAAAAAAAAACAGGTGGAAGTGGCGGCAAAAGATGGAGGGGCATCTCCCAGTAGGCGTTGAAAGTCTGTGAGGCATGTGAACCAATTCAATCGCCGCCCTTTAATTTCTTCTGATTTATTCGTATCCAAAGAAAAATTTGCATGCTTTTTACGCACATTAGCATAGGCAAACAGAGGACCACAGCAGCAGCAGCAGCAGCAGGAGCAGGGGCAGGGGCAGGGGCAGGCAAAACACTGACGGGGGCAAGGCAGAGCACTGTGCTGGAACATATAGGGTTGCAGCCTTCATCTGCAGCAATCCAATATGTCAAATTTGAAGCACGCTTCAAAGCTGTCTCTTCGCTCTATTTTCTGTTGGATAATATTTTTTCTATCAAATGTCAAGTGTCAAGGCAATTCCAATGCCAACTACTCAGTGCAGTGCTTGCGCTCCTTCTCTTCTAAACCATCTTCAACACCCCCCCCCATCGTGACAAGAGTTGTGCCATTTTGACATGCACATTCGTCAACAGCGGGTACTCCCAGTGCATTTGTCCCACCCGTTCCGATGGACATGTTTGCTTATCTAACACCCAAGCCACACCCACAACCAAGCCACACCCACACCACCACCCACACCCACTGCCCACTCGACCGTTCGACTTTCTTCCTGTCTAACATGTTTCAATAATGTTTCAATCCATCCAGCCATATTGGCTTATTTAGTTCATGCCAATATAGACTGCCCTTGAGCTGCATTTATTATGCATTATGCACATACCATTGACATGGCAATGGTGCAGAACCCAATTAATACCCAAAGGGTAATGGGACGAGAGTTGTAATTGAAATCTCTGCTTTCCGAATCCAGATTGAGAATTGCCATTGCAGTGGATTTATTTCAAGGGGTTGATGGTGTGGGGGAAATTGCTTATGAAATCGTAAACTGGCCAATATCCTGAGCCAAGGATGAGCTGCCTGTGATTGATTCCCTGATATAGCTGCTGTCTGCTGTAAGCTTTCGCCTAAAGCCTCTTTCTCATTATACCACACTGAATGCAACTCGAATCAGAGCCTTCAGTTTCGCTTAATTCCGTTCACATTATTTGAGTTTTGGGGCTGCCGTTTATGTTTCACCCACATGTTTCATTAGCTGCGCCGTCTTTCACTGTAATTTGTGGCCTTTCAGCAATTAAAGCCGCATTGTAATTCCTTGCCTTCAGATAAATTACATTACACCGTACCCGCCCCCGTCCCGGCCGTTAGTCGTTGCTGCTGGTGCGTGGGTGGGGTGGGTGGGTGTGGCTTGAAAATTGTTGCATACTTTTGTGCGGCGGCTTCAGCGCGAGTCTGCCACTTGACGCGGCGGCGGCGGCGGCGGCGGCTGTGGAAAGCAGAGGCAGCTGCCACTTTAACGCGCTCACTCCGGGCCAAGCCATGCCACGCCTCGTCCATCCATACCGTCTTGTAGAGCAGCCCCAAAAGCCACCGAAGCAGCCACCCCCCGGCCACAGGCACACGGCCCACTCAATTAACGCAAGTCATCAGAGGGTTCTGCGTGGGTGTGTGGGCGGTGTGTGGGCGGTGTGTGTAGGTTTGTGTGCGCACTTATGCTTGTATTTGTCTTAACAACTCTTGCATACAATCTAAATGGCTCTGCCTGGTAGCCTGGTAGCGGGTCCCAAGTCCCGCGTCCCGGATCTTGGCTTCTTTGCTCCTGCTTTTTCCCCCTTTTTTATTTTTGTGTGTGTGTGTATGTGTATTTTTTTTCCTGCGCTGCCTCTCGCATAATTACTTTGACTCGACTTTTACGACCTTTCTATGAATTACTCAAGAAGTGTTGGGAGCACGTCGCCTGTGTGTGGCTGCCCCGGATGCTGCTGTACGTTCGTTTCATTCCTGGCAATCCCATTCCATTCCATCCCATCACATCTCGTATCTCGTATAGGATGGGGATGCCGCCTCGCTCCTCGATCTCCCCACCGCGTGGAGTGGGCGACGCAGTTTATCCCTTTTAACTGCCGGGATTGCCATCCTTTCGTTGCGCCTTCGTGCCTGCCCGTCGTTCGTCTTATTTATTTCTTTT